ATTTTAATAGATGGCTCAAGAGCTTAACTTAATAGAAAAATCGTCTTCATTTCATAATCCATATGTTTACAAAGAAAATCAACAGGTAAATAATTAATATAAGAACGGTATTGGAATTTTTCTTCTATAGAAAAAATCATCGACATCCGTTGATAATCAATCAGAACAAATGCAAAAGAAAAAATCCAAAGAAAAAATAAAGAAAAAACGAGGTAAGAAAAAAAGACTTCGACATTTTTTTCTGTCTTGCTGACTCATCGATAATTTTAGGACCTGGTTTATCTGGCAGTCGTATTGATTTGTGATCTTACTGATATTTTGTATTGGACTATTCATATGTGTATTAGTCATTTGTTTTTTTCTATATTTCATAAAAGAAAAAATCCAATTAGTTAATCACTTATCTTTCTTTTTTCCATTACGAGGCAAGATGTTTTGAAAAGTAAGAGTTTTCTGAATAAAATCATGCATTCGATAAGAAAAACTCGTCCATAATAAATGTCCTTTTTTATATATTAATTGAAGTGAAAAAAAAGAAGAAAAAAGAGATTACTTTGAATAATAATGAGTAATTCGTCTCCTGCCGATATATGCACCTACACATCGTTTTATAGATGTGTTATTTTCAGTAAAAAGAAAAATGTCGACAATCAAAAGCGATAACTGATTTTTTTCCTTTTTCTTCTTCTTATTTTCTATTGCATAAGTAGGTGGAATTGAAAATCAGAATAAAAGAAAAATCTTTTATAGCATTCTTAGTAACTGTGTGTTTCTTTTTGTTCTCGGAGAAACTATTAGACATCATGCAATAATGAACTACTTCAATTTTGTATATTACTAACAGAAAAAGAATAGCACGATTTCATAATGAACGTACCAAGTAAGATTATTAATTAGAAGAAATAAATTAATTTATTTGAATATATTTATGTAGAACATTCAACAGAACGACGAGGCAGTTTAATGACTCGAAGTACATTATGTGGCGTAATTAAAAGTTTAGATAAACACTGTATTTTAGATCCGAATGATGTTGTTATCGTTACTCTATGCGATATAACACTTTGGGATGGTGCACATTTAGATTGTCCACATATTCCTCAACGATTTATTGTATCAAAAACTGAATTGGATAATTGTGATTATTTTCCAATTCCATTTACAATCTATTATGATGATGATGAAATCGATGGAAATCTTTGCTATGGTGTACGATGTGATATTTTTGGTAAAAATCACGATTTAAAATATAGCTCGGAAGGATTCATTAATGTTTTAACTGAAAAAAATCCTAAAACAAATATACATATTACCATTGTACCATGTAAAATTCCTTCAACACAAAAATAATTTACAAGACGGACAAAGACGACTAGCTGTATGTCAAAATTAATAATAAAACAGTTTAACAAAAAAGAAAAACATAATATTAATAATTATAAAATGTTTGTTTGTTTTTGTTTAAGTAAAAAGTTTTCCAGATAAACGTGATTTATCTTCTTTATATTTGTCATGTTCAGCTTGAAGTAATTGTTGTAATTCATTTTGAACTAATATACGAAGATTATCATCATCTTTTATATTGGAAAGAAGATAATTATAATCTTTTTTAGCTTCTTCGACATTCCATACACTAACATGAGCTTTAGCACGACGATATCGAGCTTTAGTATTCGATGGATCACTATCAAGTACGGTTGTGGAATGTTCGATAGCGGAATAAAAATCACCTAATTTTAATTGACATTGAACAAAATTTAATAACAATGGACGACGTTGAAGATCTAATTCACGCCATTCAACATCATTGGGTTTTTCTCTAAATAAATAAATATCGATAAATAAGATTTTCATTTTTTTTGAAATTTTACTTGAGCATAAGTTCTTCAAAAAATTGTAGCGCTTGTCCATATTTACCAGCAGCTTCGTCATATTTTGCAGCATTATATAAATTATTTCCGGCTAATTTTAATTCAGGTATTTGACGTGTCTTTTCTTCATCATTCAATAAATATGTATCTTTTTCAAATTCACCTGGTCGTAAAACTTGGAGCATTTCTAAAGTAATTCATAGAATATAATAAAAACTATATACTTGTATAGTCTAAATTAATATTGACGCCGGATATGGACTATACTGCTACGAAAAGTAAAAACAAGTAACGCTCGTTCGAGGACTCGCTTAGCTCTTTCTCGTAGGAATGCATCCTCTTCACATTTACTAGAAAACAATTGAAAAGCGTAAAAATTGCTCTTCGATGTTTTTTGACCTTTCCCACCTCGTCCCCTTCCCCCTCCACCATGGTCACCCAACAGACCTCAGATTCAAAGTCCCCGCATCGAAATACCTCTAGAACTGTCTTTTTGGAAAAATGGATTTTCGAGGTTTTTTTGACATTTGCCTCCTCTTAACCACTCTCCCTCACCATGGCCACCCAACGGGCCTCAGATTTGAACTCCTCGCATCGGAATACCTCAAGAAATGTCTTTTTCGAAAAATCGATTTTGGATGTTTTTTTGACCCTGCGGACAGACAAGAAATCAGACAATTTATGTTTACTGAACTCTTCTCTACGAGAAAGAGAATATTAGAAAGCAAGTGTGTATTCATAGATTCAAAGATGTAGAATTGAAAATATATACATGAAAGAAAAGTGAAATGAAGAAAAGAATTTTATTCAATCATGTAAAAATAAAGAAAAATTCCAATTATATTTTTCTATCTTTCCACTTGATAATTCTATAGTAATGAGCAATTATTTTACAATAATTTCAAGGTTCATTAATCTTATTTCCTTCGTATAGAATGAGGAAATGAAAGAGATTATTCCTGTCACTCTTATTATTACTTTTTTCTTAGTTACTACGTCAATCATCTATGATTAGAAGAATTGAAAGGAATATATGTATGATAATATCTCGCGTATAAAATTGAAAACTTTTCATTATTTAAATCTTCTCGTATTGGAGTATGAGAATTAAATTATACTTTCGAAAAATTACTAGAAGTTAATACGAACTATCTATTTTTATTATAGATTTTCATACCAAATGTAAAATTAAGTGGTTGTGGATTTCGCATTATTTTATCGAGATCTTCATGACCAAGACCTTGTTCAAGTGCCATAAAACCACAACAATGATGATGTTCATGATCATCATCATCACCATGTTTATGTGGTTTCATTTGATTTTTATAATAATCTCGAATTTGTTTTGATACAGCTGGATAAACACTAATAAGCTTAATAAAACAAGAAATAAATTTTGTATTATTTAGAAAAAA